GAAGAAGAGAAAGAGGAGAAAAAAAAAGGAACAGGAGGAAGAGGAGGAAGAAGAAATGAGAAGGAAAAAAAGGTGAGGAAGAGAAGGAAATGGGGAAAAGCTGAAGGAGGAGGAGGAAGAGGAAGAGGAGGAAAAAAGGCAGGAAGGAATTAGAAGGAAAAGAAAGTGAGGAAGAGAAAGAAATGGGGAAGAGCCAAAGGACAAGGAGGAAGAGCAGGAAGAGGAGGAAGAGGAGGATGAGGAGGAGGAGGAAGAGGAGGGTGAGGAAGGGCAGGACCTGCTCGTAGATGTCGATGGCTCGTGGGAACTGCTCGAGCTGCGCCGCGAACGTGGCCACCTTCAGCAGGCACTTATTGGCTGAGCTGGGACAGAAATCACCCAAAATCACCCCAAAATCACCCCAAAATCACCCCAGAACGTGCCCACCTTCAGCAGGCACTTATTGGCTGAGCTGGGACAGAAATCACCCAAAATCACCCCAAAATCACCCCAGAACGTGCCCACCTTCAGCAGGCACTTATTGGCTGAGCTGGGACCAAAACAGCCCAAAATCACCCCAAAATCACCCCAAAACACCCCAGAACGTGCCCACCTTCAGCAGGCACTTATTGGCTGAGCTGGGACAGAAATCACCCAAAATCACCCCAAAATCACCCCAAAATCACCCCAGAACGTGGCCACCTTCAGCAGGCACTTATTGGCTGAGCTGGGACCAAAACAGCCCAAAATCACCCCAAAATCACCCCAAAATCACCCCAAAAACATCCTGAAACCCCCCCAGGTCCACAACCCACCAAAATCCACCCAAAACCCACCAAAATCCACCCAAATCCATCCAAATTCCCCCCAAAACCCACCCAAATCCCCGGATTTGAGGGAATTCCACCGAGCAGGGACGGGGGAACTCTGGGATCTGAAGGATCCCGTGGGATTGGGAACAGGGAATCCCAGGATTTGGGGGATCCCCGGGGATTGGGGGTTCCCGGGATTCAGGAATTCCTGGGATTTGGGGGTTCAGGTTCCCAGGATTCAGGGTTCCCACGACTCAGAATTCCCAGGATTTGGGGCCCCTGGAATTCAAAGCCCCCGGAATTTTGGGGTTCCTGGGATTTGGGGATTCGGATTCCCGGGATTTGGGAATTCCCAGGATTTGGGGATTTGGATACTCGGGATTCAGGTTCCCAGGACTCGGGATTCCCGGGATTTGGGGGTTCCCAGGATTCAGAATTCCCAGAATTTGGGGGTTGGGGGTTCCCAGGATTCAGAATTCCCGGGATTTGGGGGTTCCCAGGATTCAGAATTCCCAGAATTTGGGGGTTGGGGGTTCCCAAGATTGGGAATTCCCGGGATTTGGGGGTTCCCAGGATTCAGAATTCCCGGGATTTGGGGGTTGGGGGTTCCCAAGATTGGGAATTCCCGGGATTTGGGGGTTCCCAGGATTCAGAATTCCCAGAATTTGGGGGTTGGGGGTTCCCAAGATTGGGAATTCCCGGGATTTGGGGGTTGCCAGGATTGGGAATTCCCGGGATTTGGTACCTGTTGGATTCCTCCCCTTTGTAATAATCGGCCGCCTGCTCGTAGTGGGCGATGGCCTGGGGGGGAAACGGGGGGAAAACGGGATCAAAACCTTGGGAAAATGGGATCAAGGGACACAAAACCTGGAGAAAACCCCATAAAACTTGAAACAACCTGGATAAAATCCCCTAAAATCGGGATAAAACCAGACAAAACCTGCATAAAAGTGGACAAAATAGGATAAAACCTGGATAAAACTGTCTAAAACCAGATTAAATCAGGATAAAACCTGGATAAAACCTCAATAAAACCAGACAAAACCTGGATAAAACCAGATAAAACCTGGATAAAACCAGATAAAACCTGGATAAACCTGGATAAACCCGGATAAAACCTGGATAAAACTGTCTAAAACCAGATTAAATCAGGATAAAACCTGGACAAAACGTGGATAAAACCAGATAAAACTGGATAAAACCAGATAAAACCTGGATAAAACCAAACAAAACCTGGACAAAACTGTCTAAAACCAGATAAAATCAGGATAAAACCTGGATAAAACCTCAATAAAACCTCATAAAACCTGGATAAAAGTAGATAAAACCTGGATAAACCTGGATAAAACCTGGATAAAACCAGATAAAACCTGGATAAAACCAAATAAAACCTGGATAAAACCAAATAAAACTTGGATAAAAGCGCCTAAAACCAGATTAAATCAGGATAAAACCTGGATAAAAAGGGATAAAACCTGGATAAACCTAAATAAAAGTGTCTAAAACCAGATTAAATCAGGATAAAACCCGGATAAAGCCCCATAAAACCTGGATAAAACCTGGATAAAATGCCACCAACTCTGGATCAAACCGGACGAAATAAATCCCCAAAAACCCTCCGGAATTTTCTGCTCCTTCCCCTCCCCCCCCTCCCCCATTCCTGGCTCCTTCCCGGATTCCCGCGGCTCCGCCGCCCCCGCTCCGGCTGCTCCGGAACCTCGGGAGGGGGGAGGCAGAATTCCCGGAAAACCGCCCAAAATTCCCCTTTTCCACCAGGATTTGGGGACTTGGGGGAGGAATTCCCAGAAAACCGCCCAAAATCCCCCTTTTCCACCAGGATTTGGGAATGGGAGAGGCGAAATTCCCAAAAAAACCCCCAAATTCCCCCTTTTCCACCAGGATTTGGGGATTAGGGGGAGGAATTCCCAGAAAACCGCCCAAAATTCCTCATTTTCTGCCCTAATTTCGGGATGGGGGAGGCAGAATTCCTGGAAAACCGCCCAGAATTCCCCCTTTTCCACCCTAATTTTGGGATTTGGGGGAGGAATTCCCGAAAAACCACCCAAAATTCCCCCTTTTCCACCAGGATTTGGGGACTTGGGGGAGGAATTCCCAGAAACACCCCCAAAATTCCTCATTTTCTGCCTTAATTTCAGGATGGGAGAGGGGAGATTCCTGGAAAACCACCCAGAATTCCCCATCTTCTGCCCTGATTTTGGGATGAAGGAGGCGGAATTCCCGGAAAACCCCCCAAATTCCCCCTTTTCCACCAGGATTTGGGGATTAGGGGGAGGAATCTCCGGAAAACCACCCAAAATTCCCTCTTTCCTGCCCTAATTTCGAGATGGGAAATTCCTGGAAAACCATCCAGAACTCCCCCTTTCCTGCCCTGATTTTGGGATGGAAGAGGCAGAATTCCCGGAAAACCGCCCCAAAATTCCCCCTTTTCCACCAGGATTTGGGGATTTGGGAGAGATGAAATTCCCAAAGAACACAAAATTCCCCCTTTTCCACATGGGATTTTCGGGAGGAATCCCTGGAAAACTCCCCAAAATTCCCCCTTTTCTTCCCTAATTTTGGGATTTGGGGGAGGAATCCCTGGAAAACCACCCAAAGTTCCCCCTTTTCCACCCGTTTTTTTTGGGATTTAGGGATTTAGGAGCTGGGGGATTCCAGGAATCCCTGAAGGACAGAATTCCCTGAAATTCCTGGGAATTCTCCCTCTCTCCTAAACCCCCCCTCCCTCAAAACCCATCCCATTTCTCCCCCAAAGGAAGCGAAAATCCCGGGATTTGGGGACAATTCCCATTGGAAAAAAACCCCAAACTGGGATTTCAGGGGTGAATTCCCAGAATTCCTGGAGTTCACAGGAAATTCCCAGGAATTCCTGGGAATCTCCCTCTCTCCCAAACCCCCCCTTCCCTCAAAACCGACCCCATTTCTCCCCCAAAGGAAGCAAAAATCCCAGGATTTGGGGACAATTCCAATGGGGCAAAACCCCAAACTGGGGCAAAAATCCCAGGATTTGGGGACAATTCCCATTGGAAAAAACCCCAAACTGGGATTTCAGGGGTGAATTCCCAGAATTCCTGGAATTCCCGGGAATTCTCCCTCTCTCCCAAACCCCCCCTCCCTCAAAACCGACCCCATTTCTCCCCCAAAGGAAGCGAAAATCCCGGGATTTGGGGGCAATTCCAACGGGGCAAAACTCCAGACCGGGATTCCGGAGCCGGGGGGGTTCCCGGAATTCCCGGAATTCCCGGGATTCCGGGTGTTTTCCCCACCTTCTCGACGTCGACGAGGTCGCCCTCGTAGATCTCGGCGATGGCCACGTGGTGCTTGGCGGCGACGGTGAAGCGGCCCTGCCGGAAAAGCGGGATCAGCCCCCGGGAAAAGGCCCATTCCCAGGGATCCATTCCCAGGGATCCACCCCCAGGGATCCACCCCCAGGGATCCACCCCCAGGGATCCACCCCCAGGGATCCATCCCCAGGGATCCATCCTGAGGGATCCATTCCCAGGGATCCATCCTGAGGGATCCATTCCCAGGGATCCACCCCCAGGGATCCATCCCCAGGGATCCATCCCCAGGGATCCACCCCCAGGGATCCATCCCCAGGGATCCACCCCCAGGGATCCATCCCCAGGGATCCACCCCCAGGGATCCATCCCCAGGGATCCATCCCCAGGGATCCACCCCCAGGGATCCATTCCCAGGGATCCATTCCCAGGGATCCATTCCCAGGGATCCACCCCCAGGGATCCACCCCCAGGGATCCATCCTGAGGGATCCATTCCCAGGGATCCATTCCCAGGGATCCATCCCCAGGGATCCATTCCCAGGGATCCATTCCCAGGGATCCATCCAGGGATCCATTTCCAGGGATCCACCCCCCCGGAGCCACCCCCGGGACCCCCGAATTCCCCATCCCAGGGGGGAATTCCCCCTTCCAGGAATGACCCCCAAAATGTCACCTGGGACCCCCAAAAACAGCCCTGGGACCCCCAAAAACCATCCTGGGACCCCCAAGATGTCACCTGGGAACCCCAAAAATAACCCTGGGACCCCCAAAAACAGCCCTGGGAATCCCAAAAACACATCAGGGGCCCCCTAAGCCCTCCCCAAACCCTCCCAAAATTCCCCCAAATCCCCCCCAAACCCTCCCAAAATCCCCCCAAACCCTCCCAGGCCCCCCCCGAGCCCCCCAGAGCCTCCCCAAATCCCCCCAGGATCCCCCCCCACCCTCCCAAAATCCCCCCAAATCCCCCCAAAGCCCCCCCAAAGCGACCATTCCCAGCCCCGGGGTCGCGTCTCCGCCCCCCCAGGTGGGAATTCCCGCCGGGAATTCCGTGGGAAGGGCGGGAAGGGGGAGCTCACCATGTCCGTGTAGATCTCGATGGCCCGGAGCAGGCAGGTCACCGCCTCTGGAAAACACGGAAAACGGGAATGGCGGCGGGAAAAGGGGGAGGGAAACAGCAGGGGGAGGAATTCCCGAATCTTCGGGATCCCAGCTCAGCAATTCCAAGGATTGGAGCCCAAAATTCCCAAGGATTGGAGCCCAAAATTCCCAAGGATTGGAGCCCAAAATTCCCAAGGATTGGAGCCCAAAATTCCAAGGATTGGAGCCCAAAATTCCCAAGGATTGGAGCCCTGAAATTCCAGGGATTGGAGCCCTGAAAATTCCAAGGATTGGAACCCCAAACTTCTTGGGATCAGAGCTCAAAATTCCAGGGATTGGAGTCCCAAAATTCCAAGGATTGGAGTCCCAAAAATTCTAGGGATTGGAGCCCCCAATTCTTTGGGATCAGAGCTCAAAATTCCACGGATTAGAGTCCCAGAATTCCAAGGATTGGAGCCTCAAACTCTTTGGGATCAGAGCCCAAAATTCCAGGGATTGGAGCCCGGAATCCCAAGAATTGAAAATTCCAGGAATTGGAGCCCCAAATTTTTGGAATTGGAGCCCAAAATTCCAAGGATTGGAGCCCCAAAATTCCAGGGATTGGAGCCCCAAACTCTTTGGGATCAGAGCCCAAAATTATTTGGGATCAAAGCCCAAAATTCCAAGGATTGGAGTCCCAAATTCTTTGGGATCAGAGCCCAAAATTCCAGGGATTGGAGCCCCAAAAATTCCAGGGATTGGAGCCCAGAATCCCAAGAATTGGAGACCCAAAAATTCCAGAGATTGGAGCCCTAAAAGTTCCAAGGATTGGAGCCCCAAACTCTTTGGGATCAGAGCTCAAATTCCAGGGATTGGAGCCCCAAAATTCCCGGGATTGGAGCCTCAAAAATTCCAGGGATTGGAGCCCAGAATTCCAAGAATTGGAGACCCAAAAATTCCCGGGATTGGAGGCCCAAAATTCCCGGGATTGGAGCTCTCAAAGCTTCGGGATGAGATCCCCAAATCCTCGGGCTGTGACTCCCCCCCCTCAGGACTCACATTCCCAGAATTTCGGGATGGGCCCCTCAAACCCTGGGGATGGGGGTTGGGATTCCCTCCCTTCCCAAACCCATTCCCAGCCCCCCCCAAATCCCGGGATTTCGCCGGGTTTTGGGAATCCTGCGGCTTTTCCCGCCTCCAAATTGGGGATTTGGGGGATTTTTTAGGGAATTTTTAACCCTTTTTTCGGGAATTCCGACCCCTCCAGCAGCAAATCCCGAGGGATTCCTGGAAGTTTTTCCCTCCCCAGGTCGGAAAATCGGGATAAAAAAATTCCTGGGGGATTCTGAGGTGAAAATTGAGGGAATTTTTGGGCTCATTTTCCCTGAAAATCCACAAAAAAAATGGGAATATTGTTGGGAATGGGGAGGGGGGCGGGATCGGAGCATCCAGGGGGACGCCCCAAAAAATTCCCAATCCCAGAAATCCGCCCAAAATGCCGGAATTTCTCCCCCTCTCCCTCCCCCTCCTCGGAGCCGCCGCGGATTCCGACGGAAGCCAAAACCCCGGGAATTCCAAGGGAAGCCAAAAACCCCGGGAATTCTGCCCAAAAGCCCCGGGAATTCTGCCCAAAAGCCCGGGAATTCTGCCCAAAAGCCCGGGAATTTTGCCCAAAACCCCGGGAATTTTGCCCAAAACCCCGGGAATTCTGCCCAAAAGCCCGGGAATTCTGCCCAAAACGCCGGGAATTCCATCTGCTGGGATGCGGGGGAGGGGCCGGGCTGGATCCGCCCTCGGAATTCCGGCCGGGAGCCAAGAAAGGGTCGGAAAAGCGGGAGAGGAGCCCCCTCCAGGCCCAAATTCCAGGGGAATCCGCCCCAAATCCCGGATTTCGGGGGGGTTCGGGGGTGGGATCCTTGGGAATTCCCACGGGAACGGGCTCCAAATCCCGGGAATCCGCTTCGGGGGGGGATTGGGGGGGATTTTGTGGGATTTTCCAGGGGATTTTCCAGGGGATTTTCGGGGGATTTTCCAGCTGCCACGTTCCGTGTGGATCCAAATCCCGGGAATTCCCCCGGGAATGTCGTTCCTTACTCCCCAGCTCCCGCTTTCTGGGGGATTTTAGAGGAGTTCAGGCGAATTTTCTGGGATTTTAAACGAGATTTTAGGGAATTTCCAAGGGGATTTTCAGGGATTTTGCTGGATTTTCCAACTCCCACATTCCCCGTGGATCCGGATCCCGGGAATTCCCTTGGGAATGTCGTTCCCTACCCTGGGGATCGGCCTTTTTGAAGGATTTGGGGGGATTTCAGGTAAATTTTGGGGGATTTTAAAGGGGATTTTAAGGGATTTTCCAGGGGATTTTCAGGGATTTCAGGGGGATTTTCCACCTCCCACATTCCCCGTGGACCCGGATCCCGGGAATTCCCTTGGGAATGTCGTTCCCTACCCTGGGGATCGGCCTTTTTGAAGGCGTTCCCGGCGTCCACGAAGGCGGAGGCGGCGTCGTGTTTGCTCTGCAGCTGCAGGTGCAGCCGAGCGGCCTGGCAGAAAGCATTCCCTGCTCCTGGAAAAAACATGGAAAATAGGGATAAAACAGGGAAAAATGGGATAAAACAGGGAAAAATAGGGATATGGGTCATTCAGCCTGGCAGAAAGCATTCCCTGCTCCTGGAAAAATAGGGAAAAATAGGGAAAAATGGGATAAAACAGGGAAAAATGGGGAAAAACAGGGATATGGGTCATTCAGCCTGGCAGAAAGCGTTCCCTGCTCCTGGAAAAATAGGGAAAAATGGGAAAAATAGGGATGTGGGTCATTCAGCCTGGCAGAAAGCATTCCCTGCTCCTGGAAAAATGGGATAAAACAGGGAAAAATGGGATAAAACAGGGAAAAATAGGGATATGGGTCATTCAGCCTGGCAGAAAGCATTCCCTGCTCCTGGAAAAAACAGGGAAAATAGGTAAAAATGGGAGGGATCAAACAGGGACCCAGGGCAGAAAGCATTCCCTGCTCCTGGAAACATGGGATAAAACAGGGATAAAACAGGGAAAAAGGGGATAAAACCGGGCTAAATAGGGAGAGGGGTCATTCAGCCTGGCAGAAAGCATTCCCTGCTCCTGGAAAAATGGGATAAAACAGGGAAAAATAGGGATATGGGTCATTCAGCCTGGCAGAAAGCGTTCCCTGCTCCTGGAAAAATAGGGAAAAATGGGATAAAACAGGGAAAAATAGGGAAAAATAGGGATATGGGTCATTCAGCCTGGCAGAAAGCATTCCCTGCTCCTGGAAAAATGGGATAAAACAGGGAAAAATGGGGAAAAATAGGGATATGGGTCATTCAGCCTGGCAGAAAGCATTCCCTGCTCCTGGAAAAATGGGATAAAACAGGGAAAAATGGGATAAAACAGGGAAAAACAGGGAAAAATAGGGATATGGGTCATTCAGCCTGGCAGAAAGCGTTCCCTGCTCCTGGAAAAACAGGGAAAAACAGGGAAAAATGGGATAAAACAGGGAAAAATAGGGATATGGGTCATTCAGCCTGGCAGAAAGCATTCCCTGCTCCTGGAAAAAACAGGGAAAAATGGGGGAAAATAGGGATATGGGTCATTCAGCCTGGCAGAAAGCATTCCCTGCTCCTGGAAAAATGGGATAAAACAGGGAAAAATAGGGATATGGGTCATTCAGCCTGGCAGAAAGCGTTCCCTGCTCCTGGAAAAACAGGGATAAAACAGGGAAAAATGGGATAAAACAGGGATAAAACAGGGAAAAATAGGGATATGGGTCATTCAGCCTGGCAGAAAGCATTCCCTGCTCCTGGAAAAATGGGATAAAACAGGGATAAAACAGGGATAAATAGGGATACGGGTCATTCAGCCTGGCAGAAAGCATTCCCTGCTCCTGGAAAAACATGGGAAAAACAGGGAAAAATGGGATAAAACAGGGAAAAACGGGGAAAAATAGGGATATGGGTCATTCAGCCTGGCAGAAAGCATTCCCTGCTCCTGGAAAAATGGGATAAAACAGGGAAAAATGGGATAAAACAGGGATAAAACAGGGGAAAATAGGGATATGGGTCATTCAGCCTGGTAGAAAGCATTCCCTGCTCCTGGAAAAATAGGGATAAAACAGGGAAAAATGGGGAAAAATAGGGATATGGGTCATTCAGCCTGGCAGAAAGCATTCCCTGCTCCTGGAAAAACAGGGAAAAATGGGATAAAACAGGGATAAAACAGGGATAAACGGGGAAAAACAGGGATATGGGTCGGTCCTGGCATTCCCAGCCCTTGGAAAACACAAATATGGGTCGTTCAGCCTGGGAAAAGGCATTCCCTGCTCCTGGAAAAACAGGGAAAAATAGGGGAAAACATGGGAAAACAGGGATATGGGTCATCCCAGGCATTCCCAGCCCCTGGAAAACACCCAGGGATCGTTCCCAGCCATTCCCAGTCCCTGGAAAAGGGACAGGGATCATTCCCAGCCCCCGGAAAATAGGGATATGGGTCATCCCAGGCATTCCCAGCCCCTGGAAAACACCCAGGGATCATTCCCAGCCCCCGGAAAATAGGGATATGGATCATCCCGGGCATTCCCAGCCCCTGGAAAACACACAGGGATCATTCCCAGCCCCTGGAAAACAGGGATACTGGTCAATCCCACCATTCCCAGCCCCTGGAAAACACCCAGGGATCATTCCCAGCCCCTGGAAAAGGGTCAGGGATCACTCCCAGCCCCTGGAAAACACCCAGGGATCATTCCCAACCCCTGGAAAACAGGGATATGGATCTTCCCAGCCATTCCCAGCCCCTGGAAAACACCCAGGGATCATTGCCAGCCCCTGGAAAACAGGGATATGGATCATCCTGGGCATTCCCAGCCCCTGGAAAACACCCAGGGATCATTCCCAGCCCCTGGAAAACAGGGATATGGATCATCCCAGGCATTCCCAGCCCCTGGAAAAGGGCCAGGGATCATTCCCAGCCCCTGGAAAACAGGGATATGGATCATCCTGGGCATTCCCAGCCCCTGGAAAACACCCAGGGATCATTCCCAACCCCTGGAAAATAGGGATACTGGTCAATCCCACCATTCCCAGCCCCTGGAAAACACCCAGGGATCATTCCCAGCCCCTGGAATCATTCCCCCTGGAATCATTCCCAGGAATTCCCAGCCCCTGGAAAAGGGCCAGGGATGGTTCCAGGCAGGACCAGGGGCAGCAGGGGGGTGGGAATTCCCGGGATTCCCGGGATTCCCGGGATTTGGGACCCACCACTCCAGTTCTTGGCCATCTTGAACATGTTGGCGGCGCGGGCGTAGCACTCACAGGCCTCCTCCAGCCGGGAAGAGCCCCTGGAAAAACGGGAATATTGGGAATTAGGGGGGGAAAAGGGGGATTTGGGATCAGGGGGGAACCCACAGGCCTCCTCCAGCCGGGAAGAGCCCCTGGAAAAATGGGAATATTGGGAATTAGGAGGGGAGAAAAGGGGGATTTGGGATCAGGGGGGAACCCACAGGGCTCCTCCAGCCGGGAAGAGCCCCTGGAAAAACGGGAATATTGGGAATTAAGAGGGGGGAAAAGGGGGACTGGGGGTGGAAAAGAAACCACAGGGCTCCTCCAGATGGGAAAAGCCTCTGGAAAATTGGGAATGTTGGGAATTAGGAGGGGGGAAAAGGGGGATTTGGGATCAGGGGGGAACACACAGGCCTCCTCCAGCCGGGAAGAGCCCCTGGAAAAATGGGAATATTGAGAATTAGGAGGGGAGAAAAGGGGGATTTAGGGTGGAAAAGAAACCACAGGGCTCCTCCAGATGGGAAAAGCCTCTGGAAAATTGGGAATGACGGGAATTGGAGGGGAAAAAGGGGGATTTGGGGTGGAGAGGAACCCACAGGGCTCCTCCAGATGGGAAAAGCCTCTGGAAAATTGGGAATGATGGGAAGTGGAGGGGGGAAAAAGGGGGATTTGGGGCGGAGGGAAACCCACAGGGCTGCTCTAGATGGGAAAAGGTGGGGGAAACTAGGTACTGGAGGGAATTAGGGGGGGCCCCTCCCGGGGGGCGTGGGGGTGGCGGTGGAACCCTCCGGGGGGTGCGGCTCCGGTTTGGACAAGGTGCTGGAAAACAGGGAATGACGGATTAGGGGGAAAAAGGGGATTGGGTGGGGTGGGGGTAACCAACAGGGCTCCTCCAGATGGGAAGAGCCTCTGGAAAAGTGGGAATGATGGGAATTGGGAGAGAGGAAAAAAAAAGGTGATTTTGTGGGGTGTAGGGAACCACGGGAGGGGCTGCTCCTCCTGGGAAAGGGGTGCGGGAACATAGGGAATGTCGGGAATTGTGGGAGTTTGGGGTGAAAAAGGGGAGATTTGGGGAGTTTTAGGGTGGGAAAATGGGGAATTGGAAGGAGGAAAGGGGGAATGGGGGGTGAAAAACGGGAATTGCAGGGATTTGGGGACCCCCCCCAACCCCCCGTCACCCCCTCAAGACCCCCCAAATCCCCCCCAGATCCCCCCCAAGAGCCCCCCAGATCAACCCCAGACCCCCCAAATCTCCCTCTCAGGACCCCCCCGACCCCAAAACATCCCCAAAATCCCCCCCAGGACCCTCCGAATCCCCCCCAGGACCCCCCAAATCCCACCCAGCGACTCCCCCCAACCCCCAAACACCCCCAAACCCCTCCCCACCCCCTGACACCCCCAAAACCCCCAAAAACCCGCCCGTCCTCCCCTTCCCCTCCCCCCCCGCTCCATGACACCCCCTCAGGGAACCCCCAAACCCCCTCGAGGACCCCCCCCCGCCCCAAATCTTCCCCTTCTCACCCCCAAAAACCCCCTCCCGGCCTCCCCGGTTCCCCCCCCTCAGCCTCCCTTCTTCTCCCTCTTCGCTCCCCTCGCCCCCCTCTCCTCCGCGCCCGGCCCGGACGCACCCGAAGAGGCCCCCGAGGAAGGAGGAGGCCCCCCGGACCTTCCTCTCGGCCTCGCTCAGGAGCCGCTTCGCCTCCTCCTCCTTCTCCTTCCCCAGCGCCGCCGCCATGCTGGGACCCCGTCCCACGTGACCCCCGCGCCGCGCCCCCATTGGCTGCGCCCGCCCCCACGTGATCCCTCACGTGACCCCCGTCGCGCCGCGTCCCCATTGGCTGCTCCCGCTCTCACGTGATCCATCACGTGACGCGGAGCGCTTCCTCCCGGGGGCTCGGCTGCCCCCGCGAGGCGCCGCCTGGCGGGCGGGAGGACCCGGGTGGGGAATGGGAGGGGCTTGGGGGGCTTTGGGGGTTTTTAGGTGATTTTTAGGAGTTTTGGGGGCTTGGGGAGATTCCGAGGAAGTTTCGGTCATTTCTTTTGGCGCTTTGGGGGCGGCTTTGGGGAGTTTTAGTGGATTTTCAGGAGTTTCGGTGGGTTTTGGGGGTGGTTTTGAGGAACTTCGGGGCAGTTTTGAGGTTGTTCCTTCAGGATTTTCGGGCGCTCCGAGGGCGATTCGGGGGTGACATTCGGGGACTTTCAGGGGATTTTTAAGAGGTCGGGGGGGCGACTTTGAGGAATTTTGGGCCGTTTCTTCAGGGGTTCGGGGCCGTTCGGGGGCGATTTTTAGGAGTTTGGGGCGGCGGGGGCGTGGTCTATGCAAATCGGCGGGCTGGGATTGGCGGAGAGGGTCGGTGAGGGTGGAGCGTACGTAAATGAGCGAAGGGGGGCGTAGCCAGTTAGTGGAGGGGGCGTGGCGTATTTAAATTAACTTTCATAGGTAATAGAAATTTGGGCGTGGTTTATGCAAATTAGACCGTGAGGGGACGCCAGGCCTCACGTTTGGGGGCGTGGTTTATGCAAATAAGCGTCATGAGGGACATCCAAGTAAAATCGCCGCATAATGGGCGTGGTTTACGTTAATATATAACACCCGGGGGCGTGGTTTATGCAAATACACCGTGTCGTGGGCGCGGCTTATGTTAATATCCGAGTTGTGGGCGCGGCTATGCAAATAAACACGAAAGGGGGCGTGTTTCATGCTAATATATCGATATATGGGCGTGATTTACTCTAAAATGTCACCTATGGGCGTGGTTATGCAGACAAACACGAAAGGGGGCGTGTTTCATGCTAATAAACAAGAAACGGGGCGTGTTTCATGGTAATATATCGATCTATGGGTGTGGCTTACCCTAATATATCGTCTATGGGCGTGGTTATGCAAAAAAAAAGAAAGGAGGCGTGTCTAATGCTTATATATGGGTTTGGGGCGTGGTTTATGCTAATAAGCACGATCTGTGGGCGTGGTTATGCTAATATACGCTCGTGGGGTGTGGTTATGCAAATTTAACCCCGCCCTTCCGAGGGGGGCTTTCATGAGGCGGCCTCGGGGGGGCGTGTCTATTCTAATGCCTGCCCGGGAGGGGCGCGGCTTTCGCCAATTAATCCCCGCCCACCTTTCCCCCGGGGGGGGGGGTGGTGGTTCGTCCCTCCCCCGAGAGAGAGGGGGATCCCCCCCCCCCTCCCCGATCCTATTTTATCCTTTTTTTGGTGGTTTTCGGGCGGTTTGGGCGGGTTTTCCGCGGGTCGGTTTCGGGGGCGGCCGGCGATCAGGCAGCGCCGCGGCCCCCTAAGCGGCGGGGCCCGGCGGGGTCCTCGGGGCGGCGCCCGTGCGGGGGCGCCTGGGAGACCCCGCGCCGGGCGCCGCTCGGGCCTCACGGTGAGTCCGCCCCGCTCGAGAGAAAAGCGCCCGATTCGCCCCCAAATCGCGGCCCTGTCGCGACAGCCGCCCCTCCCCCCCGGCCCCGCCGGGCCCCCCCGCCCCCCTCGCGCCGCGCTGGGGGGGGGGCGGCGGCCCCCGAAAGGGGGGGGAGGGGGGGAAAGGGGGGGGGGAGGGGACGGGCCCCCGCCCCCCCCCCCATCCCCCACCCCCCCTACAAACAGAGCGAGACGGGCCCCAAATTGGGCAAAGGGGGGGCGGGGAGGGGCCTTCGGCCTCGGCGGCCGCCTCTTCATCCTCCTCATCCTCCTCGTCCTCCTCATCCTCCTCATCTTCCTCCTCATCCTCCTCCTCATCCTCCTGCTCCTGCTCTTCCTCCTCCTCCTCCTCCTCCGCTGGCTCCGCTCCTCCTGCCGCTCTTCCTCCTCATCTTCCTCATCTTCTTGCTCTGCCTCTTCCTCCTCATATTCCTCATCCTCCTGCCGCTCTTCCTCCTCCTCCTCTTCATCCCCGGCTCTGCCTCTGCTTCATCTTCCTCCTCCGCCTTCCGCTCTTCCTCCTTATCTTCCGAGTCTTCCTCCAGTTCTTGCTCTGCCTCGTCTTCGTCCTCACCTTGCTCTGCCTCTTCCTCCTCTTCCTCCTCCTCCTCCTGCCGCTCTTCCTCCTCGTCTTCCTCATCTTCTTGCTCTGCCTCTTCCTCGTCTTCCTCTTCCTTCTCCTGCTGCTCTTCTTCCTCCTCATCTTCCTCCTCCTCCTCTTCATCCCCTGCTCTGCCTCTGCCTCATCTTCCTCCTCCTCTTGCTGCTCTTCCTCCTCATCTTCCTCCTCCTCCTCCTGCTCTTCCTCCTCATCTTCCTCATCCCCCTGCTCTGCCTCATCTTCCTCCTCCTGCTCTTCCTCCTCCTCCTCCTCCTCCTCAGGGACTGGGTTTGGAGCTGCCCCCGGGCTCGTTTTGGGTGACCTTCCTCAGCTCCCTCCTCCTCCTCCTCCTCTGGCTCTGCTCCTTGTGCTGCTCTTCCTCCTCCTCTTCCTCAGCTCCCTCCTCTTCCTGCTCTTCCTCCTCCTCCTCCTCTCCCTCGGGGTCTCTGGAACTGCCTCTGCTCTGGGGGTTCATGGCCTTCCTCTTCCTCCTCCTCCTCTTCATCTTCCTCCTCCTCTTCCTCAGGGACTCTCCTTGGAGCTGCCACTGGGCTGGGGGGGGTGGCCTTGCTCATCTTCCTCTTCCTCCTCCTGCTGCTCTTCCTCCTCATCCTCCTTTTTCTCTTCCTTTTTCTTCCTCCTCCTCCTGCTGCTCTTCCTCCTCATCTTCCTCTTCTTTCTTCTTCCTCCTTCTCCTCTTCCTCCTTCTCCTCCTCCTCCTCCTCCTCTCCCTCAGGGCCGGGTTTGGAGCTGCCCCTGCTCTGGGTGTGTGGCCTTCCTCACCTTCCTCCTCCTCCTCCTGCCCTCCCTCCAAACCTTCCTCCTCCTCCTCTTCCTCAGGGACTGGCTTTGCAGCTCTGGCCTTCCTCCTCCTCCTCCTCCTCCTGCTCTTCCTCTTCCTCCTCCTCCTCCTGCTCTTCCTCTTCCTCCTCTCCCTCATCTTCATCCCCCTCTTCCTCCTCCTCTCCCTCCAGGACTTGTGTCTCCCCTCACCTTCCTCCTCCTCTTCCTCCTCCTCTTCCTCCTCCTCCTCCTCAGGGTCTGGAGCTGCCCCTGGGCCTGTTTTCTGTTCCCTCCTCTTCCTCCTCTTCCTCCTCCTCAGGGCCTGTGCCCAGCCTGGCTCTGTGTCCTTCCTCCCCCTCTTCCTCCTCTTCTTCTTCCTCTTCCTCCTCCTGCTTTTCTCCTTCTTCTTCCTTCTTTTCTTCCTCCTCCACTTCCTCCTCTTCCTCTTCCTGCTTTTCTCCTTCCTCTTCCTCCTCCCCTTCTTCCTCCTTCTCTTCCTCCTCCTCCTCCTCCTCCTCTTCCCTCCCCTCTCCCCCCCGGATCCCTCTGGAATCCCGGGCCAGTGGCAGGTTTGGGATCCCAACTCTTCCCAGAATCCCCCTGGAATTCCCTGATCCCAGAATCCCCCTGGAATTCCCTGATCCCAGAATCCCCCGGAATTCCCTGATCCCAGAATCCCCCGGAATTCCCTGATCCCAGAATCCCCCGGAATTCCCCGATCCCAAAATCCCCCCCGAATTCCCTGATCCCAAAATCCCCCTGGAATTCCCATGTCCCGATCCCAGATCCCCTGGAATTCCGCCCGCTCCCAATCCCCCGGAATTCCCGATCCCAAAATCCCCCCGAAATTCCCCGATCCCAGAATCCCCCGGAATTCCCTGATCCCAGAATCCCCCGGAATTCCCTGATCCCAGAATCCCCCGGAATTCCCTGATCCCAGAATCCCCCGGAATTCCCTGATCCCAGAATCCCCCCCCCCGGAATTCCCGCTCCCAATAAACTCGGGCTCGTTGCTCTCCCGGTTCTCTCCCGTCTTCATTCGCTCCCCTGCCCCCGCTATCCCAAATTTATCCCAAATTTAGCCTGGATCCATCCCAAATTCAGCCTCCTTTGATCCTGGATATATCCCAAATTTGGCCTGGTTTGGTCCCAGATTTATCCCGAATTCAGCCTGGATCCATCCCAAATTTAGCCTGCTTTGATCCCACATTTATCCCAAATTTGGCCTGGTTTGATCCCAGATTTATCCCAAATTTAGCCTGGTTTGATCCCGGATTTATCCCAGTTGTATCTTGGATTTATCCCAAATTTATCCCGGTTTTATCCCAGTTGTATCCCGGATTTATCCCAGGTTTATCCCAGTTCTATCCCGGATTCACCCTGGATTTGTTCCTGTTTTATCCCAAATTTATCTCGGTTTGATCCCGAATTTATCCTGCATTTATCCTGCCTTTATCCCGGATTTATCCCAGTTGTATCCTGGATTTATCCCAGATTTATCCTGGATTTATCCCAGTTGTATCCCGGATTTATCCCAGGTTTATCTCAGTTTTATCCCAAATTTATCTTGGTTTGATCCCAGGTTTATCCCAGTTGTATCCCAGATTTATCCCAGGTTTATCTCAGTTCTATCCCGGATTCATCCTGGATTTGTTCCTGTTTTATCCCAAATTTCTCCTGGTTTTATTCTGGATTCGTCCTGGTTTGATCCTGGTTTGATTCTGGATTTATCCCGCTTTTATCCCGAATTTATCCTGCCTTTATCCCGGATTTATCCCAGTTGTATCCTGGATTTACCCCAAATTTATCTCAGTTCCATCCCGGATTCATCCTGGATTTGTTCCTGTTTTATCCCAAATTTATCCCGGTTTTCTCCTGGATTTATCCCGGTTGTATCCTGGATTTATCCCAGTTTTATCCCAAATTTATCCTGATTTTCTCCTGGATTTGTCCCGGTTTTATCCTGGTTTTATCTCAAATTTATCCTGATTTTATTCTGGATTTATCCTGGACTCGTCCCAGTTTTTTCCCGGATTTATCCCAATTTTCTCTCCTATTTATCTTGGACTCATCCCACTTTTATCCAGGATTTATCCCAATTCTATCTGGAATTTATCCCAGTTTTATCCAGGATTTATTCCAATTCTATCTGGAATTTATCCCGCTTTTATCCAGGATTTATCCCAGTTTCATCCAGGATTTATCCCACTTTTATCCGGAATTTATTCCAATTCTATCTGGAATTTATCCCACTTTTATCCAGGATTTATCCCAATTTTATCCGGGATTTATCCCACAGATTCCTGGAGCACTCCTGGAATATTCCCAGAGAATTCCTGGAGTATTTCCCGGGAATACCTCGACTATCCCGGGAGCAAAAGTTGGGATTGGGGAAGTTGTGTCATGGAATTCCCGTTTTCCTGGAGAACCCCCCCGGAATTCCCGTTTTCCTGGAGAACCCCCCTTTTCCAGGGATTCCGCCCCAATCCCACGTTTTTCCCGCCCGGGAGGGGCCGGAAGAGGCTCCAACCCCCCCCCCCCGGGCTGGTTTTTTGGGAATTGGGGCAGAAGGGGGGGGTTGGGAGGAGAATCCCGGGATTTGGGGCCGGGAATTCCCCGGGGGGCTGGAAAAGCGCCGGGAAAAGCCGGGATTTGGGAGCCTCCGGAGGCTCTTCCCGAGGAAATCCCGGGATCAGGAGCCTCGCCGGGAATTCCCCTGGAATTCCGGGTGAATCCCAGGCCTTGATCCCGCTTTTCCCGGGTCCGGAATTCCCGGATTTCCCCCGAGCTGCTCCTCGGGCGCCGAATCCCGAAACATTCCCGACTTTTCCCGGTTTTTTGGGGCCCTTTGGGTCTCGTTTTCCCCTCCCTGGGGGTAACAATTCCTTGGATTCCGGTGGGAATCCCGGGAAAGGGGGATCCGGGGGCTCGCTGAGCCTCGGGAACCCTCGGGAGGGGGGGAAAAGCGGGAATTTCCCCCGGAAAAGGGACCCTTCGGGCTTGGAATGTTGGGAATCCGCCCCGGCCCTTCGGCTTCTCTTGAGGCTTCTCCCAAAAAAAGCTCCAGGAATCCCTGGAATTGTTTGTCCTTCCCATATTTGGGGCCGTTTCCTTGGGAATGGGAAGGGGGGGGAGGGGAGGGATTCCAGGGGTTCCTTCCGGGATTCCGGGAGAGGAGAAGGGATTTTGGGATCCGTTTGTTCCCGGAGGGATTTTGGGATCGGTTCCTTCCTGGAGGGATTTTGGGATCGATCCTTTCCCTGCTGGAATTCCTGGGAATCCTTTCCTTGGGGAATTCCCAAAGGAATCCATCCCAGGGGGATTTTGGGATCAATCCCTTCCCTGGGGAATTTTGGGATCAGTTTGTTCCCGGAAGGATTTTGGGATCAATCCCTTCCTGGAGGGATTTTGGGATCGCTCCTTTCCCTGCTGGAATTCCTGGGAATCCATTTCTGGAGGGATTTTGGGATCAATCCCTTCCCTGGGGGATTTTGGGATCAGTTTGTTCCCAGAGGGATTTTGGGATCAATTCCTTCCAGGGGGGATTTTGGGATCGCTCCTTTCCCTGCTGGAATTCCCGAGGAATCCTTTCCTTAGGGGATTCCCAAAGGAATCCGCTCCCGGGGGGATTTCGGGATCAATCCAATCCTTCCCTGGGGAATTTCGGGATCCCTTTATTCCCTGAGGGATTTGGGGATCAATTCTTTCTCTGGGGAATTTTGGGATCAATCCAATCCTTCTCTGAGGAATTTTGGGATCCATCTGTTCCTGGAGGAAATTTGGGATCAATTCCTTTCCTGGGGAACTGAGGGATCAGTTTGTTCCCTGAGGAATTCTGGGATCAGTTTATTCCCAGAGGGATTTCGGGATCAATTCTTTCCCTAGAGAATTTCGGGATCCATCTGCTCCTGGAGAAATCTGGGGATCAATTCCTTCCCCGGGGAATTTTGGGATCACTTTCTTTCCCTGGGGGATTTTGGGATCCCTTTATTCCCGGAGGGATTTTGGGATCAATCCAATCCCGAAGAGATTCCCGAGGGATTTCCAGAGGAATCTTTTCCTGCCCTGGGATTCCTGGAGGAATCAGCTCCTTCAGGAATTTCGGGATCGCTCCTTTCCCTGGGGGATTCCCAGAGGAATCAGCTCCTTCCCGGATTTTGGGAATTTCGGGATCGCTCCTTTCCCCGAGGGATTCCCAGAGGAGCCAATTCCCAGCGGGATTCCTGCAGGAACCATTCCCTGATGGATTCCTCGAGGAATTCCCTCCTCACCCCTCTCTCCCTCCCCACTATCCCGTTTTCCCTCCTTTTCCTTGGAATTCGCTCCCAAAACCCCCCGAAAAAGCCGGAAAAAGCCGCAGCTCCCCCTTCCCATTCCCATTTTCCGGGGGTTTTATCCCGACTTTCCAACCAATCCCTGCCCGGAGCCGAGGGAGGGAGGGCAAAGGGCCCCGGAATTCCCGGAATTCCCGGAATTCCCGGCTTTTTCCCTGGAAAAGTGACGCTCTGTGTCCCTGTTGGCAGTTTGTCATGGATGATGAAGACGGGCGGTGCCTCCTCGATGTCATCTGGTGAGTCCCGGGAGTCTGGGGGGCACAATTCCCAAAAAAAAGGTGGGAACGGCCCGGAAAGGGGCGGGAAAGGGCGGGAAAGGGCCCAAAATGGGGGGGAAATGGCCCAAAATGGGGGGAAAACGGCCCAAAATGGGGGGAAAACATCCCAAAATGGGCTGGGAACGGCTCAAAAAGGGAGGGGATTGTCCTGGAAAAGTGGGAATTGTCCTGGAAAAGTGGGAATTGTTTTGGGAAAGGTGGGAATTGTCCTGGGAAGGGCAGGAAAAGTCCCAAAACTGGCTGGAAATGACCCAAAATGGGGGAAAAAGAGACTCAGAATGGGTTGGGAATGGCCCAAAAAGGGAGGGAATTGTCCTGGAAAAGTGGGAATTGTCCTGGAAAAGTGGGAGTTGTTTTGGGAAAGGTGGGAATTGTCCTGGGAAGGGTAGGAAAAGTCCCAAAACGGGCTGGAAACGACCCAAAATGGGGGGAAAAGGGCCCCAAAATGGGCTGGGAATGGTTCAAAAAGGGAGGGAATTGTCCTGGAAAGGTGGGAATTGTCCTGGAAAAGGTGGGAATTGTCCTGGAAAAGGTGGGAATTGTTTTGGAGAAGGTGGGAATTGTCCTGGAAAAGGTGGGAAAGGTCCCAAAACCGTCTGGAAATGGCCCAAAATGGGGGGAAAAGGGCCCCAAAATGGGCTGGGAATGGTTCAAAAAGGGAGGGAATTGTGTTGGAAAAGTGGGAATTGTCCTGGAAAGAGCGGGAAAGGTCCCAAAACCGTCTGGAAATGACCCAAAATGGGGGGAAAAGGGCCCAAAATGGGCTGGGAACAGCTCAAAAAGGGAGGGAATTGTCCTGGAAAAGTGGGAATTGTCCTGGAAAAGGTGGGAATTGTTCTGGAAAGAGCGGGAAAGGTCCCAAAACCGTCTGGAAATGGCCCAAAATGGGGGGAAAAGGGCCCCAAAATGGGCTGGGAATGGTTCAAAAAGGGAGGGAATTGTGTTGGAAAAGTGGGAATTGTCCTGGAAAAGGTGGGAATTGTCCTGGGAAGGGCAGGAAAGGTCCTAAAAAGGGTGAGGAATGTTCTGGAAAAGGTGGGAATTGTCTTGGAAACCTTCGGAAATGTCCCAAAACGGGTGGAAAAGATCCCAAAAGGGTTGGGAATGACCCTGGAAGGGCAGGAAACGTCCCCAAAAGGGCTGGAAATGTCCCAAAACCCACGGAAAACGTCCCAAAAGGGTGGGAAACATCCGGAAAACGCCGGGAAATGTCCCGGAAAAGGCTGGAAATGCCCCAAAAAGGGTGAGAAATGTCCCAAAAAAGGCCGGAAATGCCCCAAAAAATCCAGAAATGCCCCAAAAAGGGCTGGAAAAGCCCCCAAAAGGGTGGGAAACGTCCCAAAATTGGCTGGAAATGCCCCCAAAAGGGCTGGAAACTCCCCCAAAAAGCGGAAAACGCCCTAAAAAAGTTGGGAAATCTCCCAAAAAACCACCCAGGAATGTCCCACAAAGGGGGAAAACCCTCCCTGAGCCCCCCCAGGGTCCCTCCAGACTCCCGAATTTCGGGATCCTCCCCGGGAAAACCCCTCCCAGAGCTCCCCCCCCCCCCAAATCCCGGAATTCCGCTCCCTAATCCCCTTTTCCCGTTTTTTTTCCCAGCGATCCTCAGGCCCTGAACGATTTTTTACATGGATCCGAGAAGGTGAGACCCCAAAACCCCCCCAAATCCCCTTTTTTCCCCCCAAACCCCCCTTTGTTTTCCATCCCACCCCCCCTTCCATCCATCCCGACTTTTTCCATCCCATTGGGGTTTTTTAGGAATTTTGGGGCCCGTTTGGAAGCGGAGGGGCCGCCCCTCCCCCACCACCACATCCCACTTTTCCTTTGCAATCCCAGATTTTTTTCCCCATTTTTTCTCATTTTTTCCCATTTTTTTCCCATTTTTTCCCTTTTTTCCCCCAATTTTTTCCCATTTCTTTTTTCCCATTTTTTCCCCCATTTTTACTCTTTTCCTTCCTATTTTTTCCCCTTTTTTCCCATTATTCCCATTTTTTCTCATTTTTTCCTTGTTTTTTCTCCATTTCCCCCTTTTTTTCTCTTTTTTCCCCCATTTTTTTCTCATTTTCCCCTCATTTTTCCCCGATTTTTTTCTCATTTTTTCCCCCTTTATTTTCCGTTTTTTTCCATTTTTTTCCCATTTTTCTCCATTCTTTTCCCCATTTTTTCCCCCATTTATTCTCATTTTTCCCCTTTTTTCCCCCCATTTTTTCTACTTTTTTCCCATTTTTTCACCATTTTTTCCCATTTTTCCCCCATTTTTTTTCTCATTTTCTCCCCATTTTTTTCCCATGTTTTTTTCCCGCTTTTCTCCCTAAAATCCCAGTAAATCCGTGTTTCTGCTTCCAGATTGACAGTGATGATCTCCTGGACAGCTCAGGAGATGCTGCCAGTGCCTTTTTTGAAGGTGCTGGGGTAGGTATTCCCGCTCCCCTTCCCGCTTTTCCCGGGTTTTTTGCCCTTTCCCGAGTGGAATTCCATCCCTTTCCCGGGGCTGGACAAAAGAGGCGAAACCCTGGGAATTTTTCCCTGGGATTTCCCGGGATAAAGTCCCGAAATCCCTGGATTTGAGGGCAAAACCCGAGGCTCTTCCTTAATTTTGGGAGTCGCTTTTCCCGCCGGATTCGGCTCCGGGAGAAAACCCCGGGATGGAAAAGGGGGAAAGGAGGAGCCGGGAGCCCGCGGGGAATCCCCAAAGCTTGGGAAAACCCCGGAGAACTCCGGTCCTCGGGAGAAAAATCCCCTTTTTCCCGGTTCCTCCGGAGCCCCCCCGGAGCAGGAGGGGGAAAAATCCGGAATAAACCCGGAATTGGAGCCGGAAATGCCCTTTTTTCCCTCCTTTCCCCCTGTGCATGGAATGCTGTGCATGGAGAACGAGCATGACCCCCCGGCCCTTCCTTCCCTCCGGTTTTCCCTCGGGTTTCCTCGGGTTTCCCGGGAATTTTCTTTTGGGGTCGTTTTTCCCTCCTAAAAAATCCCGAATTTTCATTTTGATCCCGTTTTTTTTTTTCCTCTTTTCAGTTTTGTTTTCCCTCCTCCCCCTTTTGGCCAAAACCCAAACCGGTTATCCCAGAAATCCTCTCCCTTTTCCCGGGATTTCCCCTCCTTCCCCTTTTCCCGGGATTTCCCCTCCTTCCCCCTTTTCCCGGGATTTCCCCTCCTCCCCTTTTCCCGGGATTTCCCCTCCTCCCCCCTTTCCCGCGGGATTTTCCCCTTCCTTTCCCCAAAAACCCTCTTTGTCCCTCCGAGCTGGAGATTCCGGAGCGGGAAAACCGCCGGACGCGCCCGGAATTCCGACGGTTCGGCGCCGGAAAGCCCGAAATCTCTGGAGTTTGGTTGAGTTTGGCTGAGTTTGGTTGAGGTTTGATTGAGGTTGAGTTTTGGTTGAGTGGGTTGAGCTTTGGTTGAGTTTGGTTGGTTGAGATTTGGGGGGTTTTCCTTGAGTTTGGGTTGGTTGAGTTTGGTTGAGGTTTGCTCGAGTTTTGGTGGAGTTTTGTGGAGTGTTGTGGGGTTTTGGTTGGGTGAGATTGGGGGAGTTTTCCTTGAGTTTGGGTTGGTTGAGTTTGGTTGAGGTTTGGTTGAAGTTTGGTGGAGTTTGGTTGGGTGATTTTGGTGAGTTTTCATTAAGTTTCTGTTGAGTTTTGGTTGAGTTTCGACTGAGTTTGGTTGAGTTTGGTTGAGTTTGGCTGAGTTTAATTGGGTGACTTTTGGTGAGTTTTCATTAAGTTTGGTTGAGTTCTGGTTGAGTTGAGTTTCTATTGATTTTCCATTGAGTTTGGTTGAGTTTGGTGAAGTTTGGTTGGGTGAGATTTGGTGACTTTTTGAGTTTCTGTTGAATTTGGTTGAGTTTCTGTTGAGTTTCTATTGATTTTCCGTTGAGTTGGGTTGAGTTTGGTTGAGTTCCCCTGAGTTTCTGTTGACTTTTGTTGGCTTTCCCCGAGCCGTTTCTGTTGAGTTCCGTCCCGTCCCCCCCCTCTGACCGCCCGCCCCGTCTCCGTTGCCGCAGCTCCACGGGCAGGAGCCCGCCGGGAACCCGCTGAGCGCGGAGCCGAGCCAGCCGCCGGCCAGCGTGGACCTGGACTTCCTGGAGGATGACATCCTGGGCTCGCCCTCGGGCGCCGGCGCCGGCGCCGAGCAGCCGTGCGACATCCTCCAGCAGAGCCTGCAGGAGGCCAACATCACCGAGCAGACCCTGGAGGCCGAGGCCGAGCTGGACCTGGGCTCCTTCCAGCTGCCGGCGCTGCAGCCCGTGGTGCAGGCGCCCGACGGCACCCCCCAGATCTTCTCCGGCGGCGCCGACCTGCTGGGCATCCAACCGCCCGCCGTGCTGGCCCACCAGGCCCTGGTGCAGCAGCCGGTGGGCGCCGACGTGGTCAACAAGGCCATCAGCGTCCAGCCCTTCCTGCAGCAGGTGGGGCTGGGCAACGTCACCATCCAGCCCCTGCCCAACCTGCCCGGGCTGCCCAACGGCAGCCCCGGCGGCGCGCTGGGCATCGGGCCCATCCAGGTGGTGGGCCAGCAGGTGATGGCCATCAACCAGCCGGCGGCGCAGCAGCTGCTGGCCAAGCCGGCGCCGGTGGCGGCCGTGGGCGGGTACATCGCGCAGCCCGAGGCGGCGCTGGCGGCGGCGCCGTCCTCGCAGGGCGGGGCCGGCCTGGTCATCCAGAAGAGCCTCCCGGCCGTGGCCACCACCACGCTCAACGGCAACTCGGTGTTCGGCGGCGTGGCCTCGCCGGCGTCGCAGCCGCTCACCGTCACCTCGGGGCTGGGCGGCTCCCTGGTGCCGGCGCCCAACGTCATCATCCACCGCACGCCCACGCCCATCCAGCCCAAGCCCGCCGGGGTCCTGCAGCAGAAGCTCTACCAGATCACGCCCAAGCCCTTCGCGCCCAACAACGCGCTGGCGCTGCCCGGCGAGGCCCAGGCCAAGCCCCAGCAGAACCTGACCTTCATGGCCGGCAAGGCCGCGCCCAACGTGGTGCTCTCGGGCTTCCCCCCCAACGTCTTCAAGCCGCCGCCGCCCCAGCCGCCGGCGGCGCTGGGCAAGTCCATGAGCGTGCACGTGCTCAACCAGGGCGGCAGCATCGTCATCCCGGCCCAGCACTTCCAGGGGCAGAACCAGTTCCTGCTGCCGGGCCAGCTGGCCGGCGCCTCGGCCGTGCAGCTGCCGCAGCCGCTCTCGGCGCTGCCGGCCAACGTGGGCGGCCAGATCCTGGCGGCCTCGCACGGCGCCGGCATCATCGCCGGCCAGGGCGCCGGCGCCCAGCTCATCGCCAACCAGGCGCTGCCGGCGCAGATCCTGACCAACCAGAACTTGGCCGGGCAGCTCAACCTGGGCCAGGTGCTGACGTCGCCCAACGCCCACGGCACCGCCCACATCCTGTCGGCGCCCATCCAGCTCCAGCCGGGCCAGGTCGGCCAACCCGCGCTCTTCCAGATGCCGGTGTCGCTGGCGGGGACGCTGCCCAGCCAGAGCCAGGCGGCGGCGGCGGCAGCGCCCACGGTGATCCAAGGGGTGACGTTGGCCAACCAGGTCATGCTCAACGCCGGCGACGGTTTGGGAGCCGCCGTCAGCATCCAGGCCGCCCCCGGCGCCGCCCCCGGCGCCAGTCCCAGCCCCGGCGCCGACCCGGGCTCCGTCCTCACCGTCCAGCCCGCCGCGCCCGCGGCGGCGCCACTGCAGCTCAACGTGCCGGCGGCGGCGAGCGGGACGTCCCAGCCCAGCCCGGGGCTCGCCGGCAGCCCCGAGAAGATCCTGTTGGGCCCCGCGGCCGCGCCCGGCACCGTCCTGGGCCAGGAGTCCATGCAGATGTTCCTGCAGCAGGTGAGGGGCCTCTGCCCGGCATCGGGGGGGGATCCCGGCCCCGCGCCCGGTTGGGGGTCGTGGGTGAGTTGGGAGGTTGGGGTTGAGCTGGAGTTGGGGTCGGTGTTGAGGTTGGGGTTGGGTTGAGGTTGAGTTTGGGGTTGAGGTTGAGTTGACATTGAGGTTGAAATTGGGGTTGGGGTTGAGTTTGAGTTGAGGTTGAGTTTGGGGTTGACTTTGAGGTTGGGGTTGATGTTGACATCGAGTTGCGGTTGAGTTTGAAGTTGGGGTTGGGTTGAGGTTGACGGGGTTGGGTTGATGTTGAGTTGGGGTTGGGTTGAGTTTGAGTCGAGGTTGAGGTTTAGTTGGGGTTGGGTTGAGGTTGGGTTTGAGGTTGGCTTTGAGCTTGTAATTGGGTTGATGTTGAGGTTGAGTTGGGTTGTTCGACGTTGAGTTGGGGTTGAGGTTGGGTTGAGGTTGAGTTGGGTTGGGTTGACATTGACTTTGAGGTTGAGTTGGGGTTGAGTTGGGTCGGCGTTGACGTTGCGTTGACGTTGACATTGAGTTAAGATTGAGGTTGAGTTGGATTGACGTCAATGTTGCTGTTGAGTTGCCGTTGAGTTGAGATTGAGGTTGAGTTGGGTTGACATTGACATTGCCGTTGAGTTTCCGTTGAGTTGAGTTGGTGTTGAGTTGAGGTTGAGTTGGGTTGACATCGACGTTGGGTTGACGTTGATGTTGAGTTGAGGTTGAGTTGGGTTGACATCGATGTTGGGTTGACATTGATGTTGAGTTGAGGTTGAGTTGGGTTGACATCGATGTTGCCGTTGAGGTGACGTTGAGTTGAGGTTGAGGTTGAGTTGGGGTTGAGGTGCCGTTGACGTTGAGTTGACATTGAGGTTGAAGTTGAGTTGAGGTTGAGTTGAGTTGACATTGACATTGAGTTGAGCTTGACGTTGACGTTGGGTTGCCGTTGAGTTGCCGTTGAGTTGCCGTTGAGTTGACATTGGGTTGACATTGAGTTGCCGCTGTTGAGTCTTGGGGGCTCCAACGTCTCATTCCGGGTGTTCCCGCCCCGGGAGCGGCTCCGCTGTCGCTCTTCCCCCGGATTTGGGATTTTCCCTCCGGATTTGGGGGGTTCGTCCTTCCAATCCAACGGGGGGGGGAGGGGCCGCTCCGTGCCCCCATTTCCCACATTCCCGGCGGGATTTTGTGGTCGTTCCCGGCGGGATTTTTTGGTGATTCCCAGTGGGACTTTTCCCAGGTGATCCCAAATCCCCGGGAAGTTCGGTGGGACGGGGGCACGGCGGCTCCTGGTTTTCCTTGCCGGGAAAAATCCCTTTTCCCGATGGAAAACAGCCCCGGGAATGCGGGAGAACGACCCGGGAAGGGAAAACCGGGATCCAGGGGTGGAAAACCGGGATCCAGGGGTGGAAAACCGGGATCCAGGGACAGAAAACCGGGATCCAGCAGGGCAAAACCAGGGATCCAGCGGAAAACTGGGATCGGGGAGTGAAAAAACCGGGAATCCAGCAGCGGAAAACCGGGATTCAGGGGCGGCAAAGCGGGATCCTGCAGCGGAAAACTGGGATCCTGCAGCGGAAAAGCGGGATCTGGGCTGGGATTCCTGCAATTCCAACATTCCCTGTGGCCCTGATCCCGCTAAATTCCCCCCCCCGGCATCCGGTTTTCCCGCTGGATCCGTCCCCAAACTTCCCAGGGTTGGGACGAAGCTCCCGGAATTGGGCGGATTTGGGGGGAATTTTGTCGCTTCCCGGCCCCAATTCCGGGGTTTTCCAGCCCTTTTCCCCCTCCAAGTCTCCCATTCCCAGTTTCCCGCCCTGGGCCGGAGCCGGGGGGGGGTTGGATCCCCCCCGTTCCCGTTTTCCATCCCGTTTTTCCGACTGTTCCCGGCTCTTCCCGCTCGCTTTGGCTTCACTAACCCCGGAAGCTGCTGCTTTTCCTGCTTTCCCTGCGCTCCCGGCACGGGCCGATCCCGGAATTCCCGAAATTCCCGGGTTTCCCCCCCCCCAAATCCTTCGGGATCGTCGTCAGGCCCGTTCCCAACTCCGGGAATTTGGGAAAAGCCCCGGGAAAACCTCCCCGGGGGGGGGATGAGGGGGGTTTGAATCCATCCAAAATCGTCCCCGGAGCGGGAAAAAAACCAGGAATGGGGGAGTTTTTTTGGGGAAGCAAAGCGGGAAATGGGATTTTTCCGGGATCTGGAGCCGATTCCGGCTCGGAGCCGCTTCCTTGGGAATTCGCAGCCGGAGCCTCCCGGGTTTCCCCTTCTCCTGCTTCCCAAAAACACCCGGGAAAGGGGGATTTGAGGCAGGTTTGGGATCCAGAGGGTCGGGGGGGGGGAGTTCAGGGATGCCCAGAGCGACTTTTCCCTGGATTTGGGATGGAATTGGGATCCAAAGGGTCCCCGGGGGGGAGTTCAGGGCCCCCCAGGAGGTTTTTCCTGGGATAATCCAACCCTGGAGCTGCTTTTGGAGCCACTTTGGGAATCCACAGGTGGATCCTCGGGGGGTTTTCCTTCATTTTCATTCCCAAAACCCCCCAAGGAGCGGATTTGGGATGGGTTGGGCTCTGAGGGATCCTGGGGATGGATTATCCAGGCCCTCCCAGGGGGTTTTCCTGGGATAATCCAACCCTGGAGCTGCTTTTGGAGGCACTTTTGGAATCCACAGGTGGATCCTCGGGGGCTTTTCCTTCATTTTTATTCCCAAAATCTCCCCATCCAATGGATTTGGGATGGGTTGGGCTCTGAGGGATCCTGGGGATGGATTATCCAGGCCCTCCCAGGGGGTTTTTCCTGGGATAATCCAATCCTGGAGTCACTCCTGGATAATTCTCTTTTGGAGCTACTTTAGGAATCCACAGGTGGATCCTCGGGGGGTTTGCCTCTATTTTTATTCCCAAAATCCCCCCATCCAATGGATTTGGGATGGGTTGGGCTCCGAGGGATCCCGGGGGGGGTTTTCCAGGCCCTCCCGGGTTTTTTTCCCGGGATTTGCCCGTCCCAGCCCCTCTTCCCTGCCGGACTAACCTTCTGCCTCTTTTCCTTTCTGTGTTGCAGCCGAAGCTCCCGGGAGCGGGATCGGGATCGGGAACGTCCCCCGGGGACCCCCCTCCCCTCCCCTCCCAACTCCCTTCCCAACTCCCGGCCCAAATCCCGGCTCAGCTGCCCCCCCAGCTCCCGCCCCGCCCCCCCTCCCAGCCCCAGCCCCTCTCCCGCCCCCCTTCCCGCCCCCATTCCCGACCCCCTTCCCAGCCCCGCCCGCCCTCGGAGCCGCCCCCCCCGCGCTCCTGCACCCCCCAGAACCCCCCCCCGAATTCCCAGGGCTCCCAGAATTCCCAGGGGCTCTTCGGCATCATCCCGGAATCCTCCCCCTCCTCCTCCTCCTCCTCCTCCTCCTCCTCCTCCTCCGTGGCCCCCCCGGAGCTCCAGCAGCATTCCCAGTCCTCCCACTTCCCGGGAATCCCGCTGGGATCGGGGCCGGGGAAGAACCCCCCCCTGCACCTCCTGCCGGGGGCTTTCCAGCCCCTCCCCAACCCCATTCCCAACCCCATTCCCAACCCCAATCCCGGCCCTCCTCCTCCTCCTCCTCCTCCTCCTCCTCCTCCTCCTGCTCCGCCGAAGCCCGGCCTGGAAAGGTTCCAGCAGGTAAATCCCGCCGGGAATTCCCGGGGAAAACGGGAAGGAGACCCCCCCCCGTCCCATCTCCCCCTCCCCGGACTGGGATATCCTGGGAAATCCCCGATCCCAGTGTTTTGGGAGGGGGGGATTGGGGGAATTTCCTGGTTCCCAAACCCTCGGGAAAGGCGTCGGAAAGGCGGGAATTTTGGAAGCCCGATCCCGGTTTTCCGGGCGAACCCTCCCCCCCCCCTTCCCAAATCCCGGATTGGTCTCTGAATCCCGCCGGGTTTTTGGGATTTGGGGGTTTGGTTGTGGGATCTCGCTGGATTTGGGGTGATCAGGAACCAAATCCCACTGGATTTGGGGGATTCAGGAACTGAATCCCATCAGATTTGGGGCATCCAGGAACTGAATCCCACCGGATTTGGGGCATCCAGGAACCGGATCCCGCTGGATTTGGGGTGATCAGGAACCAAATCCCACTGGATTTGGGGGATCCAGGAGCTGGATCCCGCTGGATTTGGGATTTTGGGGGGTCAGTTGTTGGATCCCACTGGATTTGGGGCATCCAGGAACCGGATCCCGCTGGATTTGGGGGGTTCAGGAACCAAATCCCACTGGATTTGGGGCATCCAGGAACTGAATCCCACCGGATTTGGGATTCTGGGGGTCAGTTGTTGGATCCCACTGGATTTGGGGCATCCAGGAACCGGATCCCGCTGGATTTGGGGGTTCAGGAACTGGATCCCGCTGGATTTGGGATTTTTCTTGGGATTTGGGATTTTAGGGGCATTCAGGCATCGGATCCCGCCGGATTTGGGACCCTGGGGGGATTTGGGAGTTGGATCCCGCCGGATTTGGGGGATTCAGCCCTCGGATCCCACTGGATGGTGGATTTGGGGGGATTGAGGTGTTGGCTCCCCGTGGATTCGGGATCTTCGGAGGGTTCCAGCTGGATTTGGGATTTTGGGGGGGGTTCCCAGGCCTTTGGTCCCCCCGGATCGGGGATTTCCCTCGGGATTCAGGGGTTTGACCCCTCGGGATTTGGGATCTGGGATTCAGGAATCTGATGCCGCTGGATTTGGGATCTGGGGGGATTCAGGCCTTTGGTTCCTCTGGGCTGGGGATTCCTCTTGGGACCTGGGGGTCTGATCCCTCGGGATTTGGGGGTGTTTTTGGGATCTGGGTGTTGGATGTCTCTGGGTTGGGGGTTTTTTGGGATCTGGGGGGTTGATCCCTCTGGATTTGGGTGGGTTTTTTTGGGATCAGGGTGTTGGATCCCTTGGGATTTGGGATTTAGGGATTGGGATCGTTCTTGGGATGAGGGACTTTGATTCCTCTGGGTTGGGGTGGGTTTTTTGGGATCTGGGTGTTGGATTTCTCTGGATTTGGGTGGGGTTTTTTGGGATCTGGGGCTTGGATCCCTCTGGGTTGGGGTTTTTTTTGGGATCTGGGTGTTGGATCCCTCTGGATTTGGGGTTTTTTTGGGGGGATCTGGCTGTTGGATCCCTCTGGATTTGGGATTTCTTTTGGGATTGGGGTGTTTGATCCCGGTGGATTTGGGGTTTTTTTTGGGCTCTGGGTGTCGGATCCCGTTGGATTTGGGGGGGTTTTTTGGGGGGATTTGGGGGTCGGCTCCCGGTGGATTTGGGGGGTTTTTTTGGGGGGATTTGGGGGTCGGCTCCCGGTGGATTTGTCGTTCCCGGGGCTCTCCCGGCTCCGTTCCCTGTGGGCTTTGGGAACGTGGGGCCGGTTGGGATCCGGGGGTGTCTGTTCCCGTTTCAGGTCCCCCCGGGGCTGATCCTGCAGCCGAAGCCGCCCCCGTCCAGCCCCGGAACGTTCCCGGCTCCGGCTCCGGGCGGGGCCTCCGTCCTGGTCACGGCCACGCCCACCACGCCCGGCCCCGCCCATGGCCCCGCCCCCGCCACGCCCGCTAACGCAGGTGGGAACCCCGGCATTCCCAGAAATCCCGAAAATCCTGGGATTCCAGGGTCCCACGGCATCCCAAAATTCCGGGATTCTGGAATTCCAGGGTCCTACAGCATCCCAAAATCCTGGAATCCCGGAATTCCAGGGTCCCACAGCATCCCCAAATCCTGGAATTCCAGGCTCCCGCAACATTCTAAAAATCCCAGAATCCTGGAATTTTGGAGTCCCACAGCATTCTAAAATCCTGGAATCCCAGAATTCCAGGGTCCTACAGCATCCCCAAATTTTGGAATTCCAGGGTCCCAGAGCAGCCCAACATCCCGGAATCCCCGAATCCTGGAATCCCGGGGTCCCGGTGTCTTGGAATGCCAAAATCCTGAGTGTCCCGGAATCCCCCAAGTCCCGGGATTCCTGGAATTCCGGAGTCCCAGTGTCTCGATATCCCAATATCCCGGTGTCCTAAATCCCAGTATCCCAAATCCTGGTATCCCAACGTTCCAGCATCCCGAATCCCAGCATTCCACCGTCCCGTTATCCCACCATCCCAGTGTCCCAAATCCCAGTATCCCATCGTCCCGGTATCCCAACGTTCCAGCATCTTAAAAGGCGGTATCCCAACTCCCAATATCCCAAATCCCGATATCCCAACTCCCAATATCCCAACTCCCAATATCCCAAATCCCAATATCCCAAATCCCAATATCCCAAATCCCAATATCCCAACTCCCAATATCCCAAATCCCAATATCCCAAATCCCAATATCCCAAATCCCAATATCCCAAATCCCAGTCTCCGTTCGGGAATCCCCCTGGAATTCCAGCCTGGGCCCTTCCCTCATTCCCCCTCCCACCGGTTTCCCAGGATCTCCCAGGCCGGGAATCTCCGGGATTTTCCCGGCTCTGACCCTTCCCAGGATCTCCCAGGCCGGGAATCTCCGGGATTTTCCCAACTCTGACCCTTCCCAGCATTCCCAGGATTTCCCAGGCCGGGAATCTCCGGGATTTTCCCAACTCTGACCCTTCCCAGGATCTCCCAGGCCGGGAATCTCCGGGATTTTCCCAACTCTGACCCTTCCCAGCATTCCCAGGATCTCCCAGACTGGGAATCTCCGGGATTTTCCCAACTCTGACCCTTCCCAGCATTCCCAGGATTTCCCAGGCCGGGAATCTCCGGGATTTTCCCGGCTCTGACCCTTCCCAACATTCCCAGGATCTCCCAGACTGGGAATCTCCGGGATTTTCCCGGCTCTGACCCTTCCCAGGATCTCCCAGACCAGGAATCTCCGGGATTTTCCCAACTCTGACCCTTCCCAGGATTTCCCAGACCGGGAATCTCCGGGATTTTCCCGGCTCTGACCCTTCCCAGGATCTCCCAGGCCGGGAATCTCCGGGATTTTCCCAACTCTGACCCTTCCCGTTGTCCCCCCCCGCAGGTGCCCCCTCGGAGAGCAAACCCTTCTCCAGCATTCCCGGCATTTCCAGCATTCCCAGCGCCGTTCCCGCCGGGAAAGGGGCCCCGGCTCCGGGCAAGGCCCCGGCCCAGCAGCCCAGCCAGGTGAGGAGGGGGCGTTTTCCCGGGAATTCCTCCTCTCTTCCCACCTTTTCCCGCCCCTTCCCTGCTCTTCTCTCTCCTTTTCCCACTTTTCTCCTTCACTTCCAACATTCCCCCCTTCCCATCCCACTTTTCCCTTTTTATTTCCTCCATTTTCCCACTTTATTTCCCTGCTTTTCCCTCCATTTCCCACTTTTTTTCCCAGATTTCCTCCTTTTTTCCCAAGTTTTCCTCCTTTCTCCTTCACTTTCCCCGTTAATTCCCACATTTCCCCCCTTTAGACCCCAATTTTTAATTTCTTCCCCCCGTTTTCCCACTTTTTTCCCAAGTTTTCCTCCCCATTTCCCAGTTTTCTTCCCTTTTATGCCCAGTTTTCCTTGTTTTTCCACCCTTTTATTCCCAGTTTTCTTCCCTATTTCCCATTTTCCCTCCTTTTTGTCCCCAGTTTTCTTCATTTTCCCTCCCTTTTATCCCCATTTTTCCCCGTTTATCCCCAATTTTCCCCCTTTATTCCCACTTTTCCACCCCCTCGGGCGTCCCCCCCCTTTCTCAGCCCCGGCAATTCCCGAGTTCATCCCGCTTTTCCCGCTTTTCCGCAGGCAAAGCCGGGTGGGATCAAAGGCCCCCCCCAAGCCCCGGGGGGGGGGAAGGGCCCCCAGCCAATGGTGAGTCCCCAAATCCCGGGAATTCGGCCCCAAATCCCGGGAATTAAAGCCCCAAATCCCAGGGAAATTCACCCCGAATCTGGGAACGGTTCCAAATCCCAGGAAAGTTCTCCGAAATCCTGGGAATTCTTGTAAATCCTGAGAATTCCCCCTTCTCCCCCAGATCCTGGGAATCCCAAAATCCCAGGAAATTGCCCCCAAATCCTGGGAATTGCCCCCAAATCCCGGGAATGGCCCCCAAATCCCAGGGAATTGCCCCCAAATCCCAGGGAATGGCCCCCAAATCCCGGGAACGGCCCCAAATCCCGGGAATGGCCCCAAATCCCGGGAACGGCCCCAAATCCTGGGAATGGCCCCCAAATCCCAGGGAATGGCCCTCAAATCCCGGGAGCTGCGTGTGAATCCCGGGAATCCCCCAAATCCCGGGAATCTCCCCCAAATCCCGTGAACCCCCTGAACACTGGGAACAGCCCCCAACTCCCGGGAACGGCCCCAAATCCCAGGAACGGCCCCAAATCCCGGGATTGGCCCCAAATCCCGGGAACGGCCCCAAATCCCGGGATTGGCCCCAAATCCCGGGAACGGCCCCAAATCCCAGGAAAAGGCCCCCAAATCCCGGGAACGGCCCCAAATCCCGGGAACAGCCCCAAATCCCGGGAATGGTCCCAAATCCCGGGAATGGCCCCAAATCCCGGGATTTGCTCTGTGTCCGCAGTTGGAGTCTCTGAAGAAGGCGCCGGCGCTGCAGCCCAGTAAGGAGGCCTGGTGAGCACTGGGAATACTGGGAATGCTGCTGGGAACACTGGGAATGCTCCAGGCTGGGAATTCCGGCCGGGACGGGGACAAGAGCCGGGAATTCCGGCAGCTTTTGTGCCGGAAATGGGGAATTTTGGCCGCTCGGGCGCCGGAAATTGGGAATTCTGCCCCGCCGGGAAGGGGGAGTTTTGTCCTTGCTGAGCCCGGAAATCTGGGAATTCGGGGGGAAATTCGGGATTTTTGTCAACGTTGATGCCGGAAACGGGGAATTTTGTCCCCGTTGACGCAGGAAACTTGGGAATTTTGCAGGAAATTCGGGATTTTTGTGAACATTACTGCCAGAAACGGGGAATATTGTCCCTGTTGATGTGGGAAATCTGGGAATTCTGGGGGAAATTCGGGATTTTTGTCCCCGCTGATGCCAGAAACGGGGAATTTTGTCCCTGTTGATGTGGGAAATCTGGGAATTTTGGGGGGAAATTCGGGATTTTTGTCAACATTACTGCCAGAAACGGGGAATATTGTCCCCGTTGATGTGGGAAATTTGGGAATTTCGGGGGAAATTTGGGAATTTTGTCCCCGTTGATGTGGGAAATCTGGGAATTTTGTGGGAAATCTGGGAATTTTGTGGGAAATCTGGGAATTTCAGGGGAAACGTTGGATTTCCGTCGGTGTGGACGCCGGGAAATCTGGGAAGGGTGTCCCTGATTCGGGAATGTCGCCCCGCAGCCTCCTGGAGCAGCTGCACAAGCACCAGGGCTCGGTGCTGCACCCGGAATTCCGGACCCGCTTCCGCTCCGTGGGCGACGCCCTGAGGAGGCTCCTCCCCTACCA